CTCCCAACAGCTATACATGGGACTGTGTCTTTCACTCGTGACAGACCTCCAGTCCCAATGGAGAACCCCTCAATACCAAACAAGAGTGGGGTCCCTGCTGAGCTGACATATGCACTGACCCCAGTAGCCCCCCATCCCGAGGCCAGGTGGGGTCATGATCCCCAAAGGCTCAAGTATGACTAGCATATCACAGCATCAGGGACCTTCACTGCAAAGGACTAGTCACAGCGTGGAGCAGTGGTATGATGTGCCCACCTGGGCCAGACAGCCTGACTCGCTTGTGGACTCCCTGTGTTGGGCAGCAAGACCAGCTTGCTCAAGCCCTTCTTCAGCTGTGTCCCCCAACTTGCTCATCACTCCTGAGGATGAGAGGAGGACCTAGTACAGCCCAGGGTACCACAGCCCAGACCACAAACTGTGGAGTTCCAAGCATCCCAGGCAGCATTGCAGCAAACAGGCACAGTATGTGTTGGAAATGTGCAAAGGTTGAAGTACCCTTACACATGGAAGAAACAGTTATGCTTTTTGAACAACAGATACCTACATGGAGCCCAACCCACCAATATAACTGAACGCAAGACAGCAACTGTAACAAGCTCCAGCGCACAACATTGGATGATGGCACTGCACGATCGCCAGCAACGGACAGCATTCAGAAAGACCCCAGGGAGGTTGCCTGTCTGCCTTGATCCCCAGTTGCCTGGAGTCATCAAGTCGGACCAACACTGCTGGCTATCTGCAGCAACTGTGCTTTGGCAGCAACAGGGTGCATATGGAGGTACAGGACCCAGTGCCTGGGATGCCCCTGGGGAGAAAGTACCTTTCTGTTTGGCAGTCACAAGCTCGCATGCTTCAGAAATTGGCAGATGCAATTCAGAGCTCTTTTTTAAAGGGATTTTTTTTGAGACCAGATAGTCTTTTACTTCTAAGTATGTATTTCAGTATTTCTCAGGAAAAACTAGGATAAATATATTTCTTGGAGTGCTTTTAGCATTTTCATATCATACGTCCACTTCATTAACTTACTTATAAAACATGAAGCAAAAATCAAGTTGACCTGCATTTTTAAAGTATTTGCCAAAAATCTATTAGATAATGTAATATGTATGAAACTTGTGAGCTCATGTGTTTTATGAGATTCTGGTCAAGATTGGTGCCAACATACAATTAAGGAGAGTTATAGAGGATTTATAACGGTTACAAATACTGAACATAGATGAATGTTTTATTTCAGATTTTAAAGTATTTTCAGCATTTATAGAAACACAGTGAGTCACTGGTTACTGGCTAGTGTTCTGTAACATACAAATTCTTTCTATTTACATTTTAAGCCTTTTTTCTCCCTGCAATGTCATGTAGAACTTCAGCATTTTTCATCAATTTAATATTCAAAACGACATTCCATTTATGGACCTAAAGGTGGATACACTAAGCAAAGCACAGAAATATTCACGTAATGTACAAATGAATTAAGAAATGGGAGAATATATATGGAGAGTAGCTTCAACAAACAACTCAAGGAACCAAATGACTTCCATAACACACCAGTGTAAAGCAATTATACTCCAATAAAGATGTAAAAAAAAAAAATCCCTTCCTGTGAGGAAGCCTCCTGCATTGTTGGTGGAAATGTAACTTGGTGCAGTCACTATGGAGAACAGTATGGAGATTCCTCAAAAAACTAAAAATAGAGCTACCATATGGTCCAGCAATCCCACTCCTGGGCATATATCCAGACAAAACTATAATCCAAAAAGATTCATGCACCCCAATGTTCATAGAAGCTCTATTTACATTAGCCAAGACATGGAAGCAAACTAACTGTCCATCAACAGAGGAATGGATAAAGAAGATGTAGTATATATATACAATGGAATATTACTCAGCCATAAAAAAGAATGGAATAATGCCATTTGCAGCAACATGGATGGAACTAGAGGTTATCATACTAAGTGAAGTAAGTCAGACAGAGAAAGACAAATACCATATGATATCACTTACATGTGGAATCCAAAATATGACACAAATGTATCTATGGAACAGAAACACACTTGCTGACATAGAAAACAGACTTGCAGTTGCCAAGGGGGAGGAGGGTTAGGAGAGGGAAGGATTGGGAGTCTGGGATTAGCAGGTGCAAACTGTTATATATAGGATGAATAAACAACAAGGTCCTACTGTGTAGCACAGGGAACTATATTTAATATCCTGTGATAAACCATAATGGGAAAGAATATAAAAAAGAATGTATATATTGTATTACTAAGTCACTTTGCTGTACAGCAGAAATTAACACAACATTGTAAATCAACTATACTTGAAACAAAATAAATTTTAAAAAATTCTGTTCCTGTGAGTCTCTGGCCTTGCATGCACATTTGCTGTGTTTGTGTATTTGTTCACTGCACTCGTAATTGGAAACACAAGGCCTGCGTGTGTTCAGAGGCCATGTGTGTTTCCTGCCCGTAGTCATTGATCCATGCAGAGCTCCATTCCCTTTCTTAATGAAGATGCAGAGCTCCATTCCCTTTCTTAATGAAGATTTAGAAAGATCTACATCTTTGAGAGTATCCTTAAAATTTATAAAAGATGTTTTATTTAGAATAAAAAGTAACCTTTGGACATTTTTTTAAAAAAGAGTATTGAGTGACAGCAAGAAGAGAAGCAATGCTGCCCTAAGATGACTTCCACTCTACATGGCTAGGCAGCGGCCAGAAGCCTGGAAATGCCTTAGGGGATTCAAAGCTCACCTGAGAGTACAGGTACGTACTCACCATTAAAGGAGAGTTCAGGGACAGGGCAGGGTCCTGCTGGGGACAGAGCATCCAGCTCCCACTCCCCACACCAAGCTCCCCAGAGATGATGGAAGGATGGCTTTCACCCCACGGTGGAAAGGCTCTTCTCTGGCTAATTCAGCGAACCCAACAGGAAGGACCTAGAGATGAAATGTTAGTGGTTACCCCACAACAGCTCCCCTGCAGATGGGGTCAAAACTAACAAGCCTCATCCATTTCAGGGCCTCTGATCAGCTTTTCAGCCCTCAGACTCTTAATTATGAGACAGCAGCCATGTATTATCACGTATTTGAAGAAAGTGCCTATCAGGGAAAAGAGACTTCCTGAAATAATAGGAACAGACAAAAAACCAACTTGGAGGCAATAAAGACCATGCAGGGAGGAGAAAACTAAAACACAACAAAAGTTAACATGCTCAGAGGAAGAAAAGAACTACTCCAAAAATGAAGTAAGTAATTATATATAATTAAGAGATATATGTGATAAATATATGACATCTATCTTATGTACATAATGTATATAATTAATCATATAACCATAGCTAATTGTTAATAAATAAGAACTGTATGCACATCCAATATATGTATGTATTTGACATATATATGGCATACATTTCTGTTGTATGTATTACATTCAGCAAAGAGTAAAGTGTTCATAAAAATTGAGACATGATAGTATGAATATAAAACTGAACAGAAGAATCTCCAAGTAGGGTCTGATCAAGACTGCAGAGCAAGAAGACCCTGAGCTCACCCCCTCCCATATGACCCAGCAATCCCACTACTGGGCATATACCCTGAGAAAACCATAGTTCAAAAAGAGTCATGTACCACAATGTTCATTGCAGCTCTATTTACAATAGCCCGGAGATGGAAACAACCTAAGTGTCCATCATCAGATGAATGGATAAAGAAGATTGGCACATATATACAATGGAATATTATTCAGCCATAAAAAGAAACGAAATTGAGCTATTTGTAATGAGGTGGATGGACGTAGGGTCTGTCATACAGAGTGAAGTAAGTCAGAAAGAGAAAGACAAATACCATATGCTAACACATATATATGGAATTTAAGAAAAAAAAGTCATGAAGAACCTAGGGGTAAGACAGGAATAAAGACACAGATCTACTAGAGAATGGACTTAAGGATATGGGGAGGGGGAAGGGTAAGCTGTGACAAAGCGAGAGAGAGGCATGGACATATATACACTACCAAACATAAGGTAGATAGCTAGGGGGAAGCAGCAGCATAGCACAGGGAGATCAGCTCAGTGCTTTGTGACCACCTAGGGAGGGTGGGAGGGAGATGCAAGAGGGAAGAGATATGGGAACATATGTATATGTATAACTGATTCACTTTGTTATAAAGCAGAAACTAACACACCATTGTAAAACAATCATATTCCAATAAAGATGTTAAAAAAAAAATTATGACTACATATACAGTAACTATCTCTGAGAATGACCTGAAGACCTGCAGGACAGGTTTTCTACAACTAAGGATATAAAGAAAAGGCCACATGGGGATGGAGAAGAGGAGAAGAGATACGGTCCTGTCAGAACCAGCACCCTCAGGACAGTGACTCACAAGTGAGGGGAATATCACCACCACAGAGGCCCCCCTGAGGAACAGGGGTCAAAGCCCCACTTCAGGCTCCCTAGCTGGGGCACCTACACCAGGAGAATGAGCCCCGCCGTTAGTCTGACTTTGGAAACCAGCCAGGCTTACATCCAGGTGAGCCTAAGGGCTACAGGAAGCTGACCTCACTCTTGAAGGGTTTCCACATGAATCCCCTCCTTCCAAGTTCCAGAGCAGAGGCAGCAGCTTGAAAAGCACCTGGGTCTTAGGAGGAGGAGATACATTGACTAATTTTAAGGAGTGTGCCAGGGGGACAGGGATGTCTTGGACCCTTGGAACTTTCTTGGGGATGGAAGCAAGCACTGGCAGGTCCGCTGTTTTTTTCACTCTCCTTCCACCTTGCTGGCCTGTCTCTGTTGGGTATCATTTCTGTCACTCTCCATAAAACTAGCTCACCCTGTGCACCCTGCCTTGTTGTTCCCATAAGGACTTGTCCTGCCCAACCCACCCATCCCAGCCTGCCCCTCCATAGCAGCTACTGCCCTCCCCCGACTGGAGCAGGTGCCCCACTAAAGTGCCTGCCACCAGGGGGGCCAGACTTGCCCCCCAGGATGCCCACAGCAGTCACAGCCCAACCACGACAGGAGCCCACCCGGGGAATAACCCTGGGGCACCCGGCTCTGGAGACAGGGGGACTGTGCCACTGGACCCAATAAGACACCTTCTACATAAGGCTACCACTTCAAGACCAGGACATGTAGCTGAAATACCTAATATGAAGAAACAACACAGAGAGATTAGCAAAATGAGGACAATGACAGACATATGAAAAGATGCTCAACATCACTAATCATCAGGGAAATGCAAATCAAAACAACAATGAGATGTCACCTCACACGTGTCAAAATGACTATCATCGAAAAGACAAGAAATAACAAGTGTTGGCAAGGATGTGGAGAAAAGGACATTCATTCACTGCTGATGGAAATGTAGATTGCTTCAGCCACTGTGGAAAACAGTATGGAGATTCCTCAAAAAATTAAAAATAGAACAACCATATGATCCAGCAATTCTACTTTTGGGTATTTTTCCGAAGAAAACAAAAACACTAAATCAAAAAGATATACGCACCCCTATGTTCATTGCAGCACTATTTACAATAGTCAAGACGTGGAAGCAAATAGGTATCCACTTAGACAGATAGATGAATGGATAAAGAAATTGTGATATATATATATATATATATATATATATATATATATGTGATGAAATATTAAATTAGATTTTAATTTAAAAAATAAAATCTCGCTATTTGCAACAACATGGATGGGCCTAAAGGGTATTGTGCTTAAAAAATGATAATCCAAATTGTCCTATCTCTATTACAGAAATTAAATTGACAGTTAATAATCTTCCAGCACAGAAAACGTCAGGAGATGATGTCTTCACTGTTCAACTTTAACACTTAAGAAAGAAATAATACAGAAACTACACAAACTCATCCGGAATACAAAAAGAATACATTTTGTGATGCAAGCCTTACTCTGATACCAAAACCAGGCAAAGATGGTACAAATAAAGAAAACCACAGAATAATCTCACTTACGAACATGAATGCATACATCTTTAATAAGCCCTCACAAATAAAATCATATATCATGATTGTAAAAATTGTCATATATCATGTGACAATTGTAAAATTGTCATATATCATGAACAAGTGTGTAAAAATTGTCATATATCATGAACAAGTGTGTTTTATCCCTAGAATGCAAGCTGGTTCAACATTTGAAAGTCAGTCAGTGTCATTCATCATATATCTTATGTTAAGTGTTTTTACCACCATAAAATAAAATAAAATAAAATAATAAAATAATAAATATATTATTTCATTTCATAAAATGAAATAATATATTTTTTTTAAATAATGTGACTCTTCAAGAGTAATAGTTCATTTGGGGAAATTTGGGGGGAGACCTACTGCCAGGGTTGCTGGGGTGTGGGGATGAAAGGTCAGGTGAGGTGAAAAGCCTCCACTGACATCTCCCTGATGGATAAAGAGCTGAGTGATGGGGTACCACACTGCCACCTCCTTCTCTAATTTCCTCATCTGTGAGCCAGGCGTTAGAACAGAGTGGCACTGCTACACGAATGTTCCCCATCATCAGGCTGAAGAAGAAGAATTATAGGAATAAAAAGGATTACAGGAGAAACACGAGCATTTATCTTCTAATTCAGAACTTAAAAGGGCGTAGCAAACAGTGAGGCATTTTACACATTTCAAGGCTGGAAGATGTTTGTACACTCACCCTCTGCTAGTGAAATCAATGAATGGGAGCACTGGCTTCCCCAAACGGTCCTTCTGGTGAGGATTCCAAAGCGCCTACTTACATTTGGAGAAGTAAGAACTAAGAGAGTCCTGAACACAGTTTTTAATTAAAACCAAGTATTTATATGTGGCTGCTAAATCGTGATTTCCCACGACTCTAAATAACAGGGGAGAAAAACTGTGTGAAAGCGTCTCTGGTGTCTGACCTGTGGAGCACAAATGGCAAAGGTAGTTCCATCTGCCAAGTCCCCATAGAAGGAGAAAGGGAAAGTCAGAGACAGCAGTAGAATGAAAGAGAATTCCCAAAAGTGGCTTTCAGGTGAGCAAAGTTTCGGCAGTTACCTGGATATTTTCTGCTTGGAAAATGTAACCCTACTTTATGTCTTCCGCCACCTTTTTTCTATATTGAAAACACATTGGCTCATAAATTGCCAACTTCTCTAGATTTTCAAAGGTCAGAGTTTTCCTTGCTTACAACGTTAAATATGCTATGATTGGTATTGGTATTTTTCTTTATATATTGCTGCAGCAGGCAGGCAGACTTTACTCTTCCTTTTGGAGCTGTCTTTCAACTGAGAAAAGTCTGGCAGGGTTTCTTTTAGGGAAGTTCAGCCACTTCTGTATATGAGGCTCACAGAGCACCACATGGCAGCAGCTTCTTACATCTTGAAAAACAGATAATTCCCCCAAATTATGGTATTCCTTTTTTTTTTTTTACTTTACCTGTGGTATTTCATTGTTTTCATTTTTTTCAATAAATTAAAGTAATATAGTCATTGTAAGAGAATAGGAAATGCAGGTAAACAGACATGGGAAAAAAAGTAACAGAATTCCATTTTCTAGAAAGAACCACCATTCATGTATTAGTTTATATTCTTCTAGGCGTATATGCTTATATGGGTATAATAATTCTCTGCCTTTACTAATCTACTTTCTCTCTTCGAATGCAAGGCTTTCCATGAAATAAATAAAATAGCTTTATCACTTTAAATAACTACAGCTTTGAGGATTCCATAATTTATTTTAAAATGGCTATAGCTCGAGGCTAGAGAAGTTTTATCAATAAAGATGGACTTTTAAGGACATAAAATGGCAAAAGATCTTGGGAGACTGTGTGGACAAGGACTTTATATTTTAATAAATGAATCAGTTTACTAAAAACCATTTGCAGTGAGTCTTCTGAATACATGGCAATTTTCTGTAAAAGAAATAAAGATGAAACAGACCAGGATTCTGATCTCACAGAGTTTACTATGTAATGGGGAAAGAAACAAGTTCCTCCAAGAAACTTTTATTTGACAAGCCACGTAACAAGTGAGGAGACCTTTATGGGTGTGTGAGATGGGTGTAAAAATGTGTCATGATTATACAGAGACATTAGCTATGTCCCATTGGGGGACTGGAAGGAGGTTTTCTGGAAAAGATGGCATTTGATTGAATGCTTGAAAATGTTGACTCTCAGGTCCAAGTCGACTAGAAAAGTTCCCAGTGATGAAAAAACAGCCTATGCAGAATGCAGGGCAGGAGAGACAGACCAGAGCCTGGGGGTCCAGGGGCCACACCAGCTCCAGGCTGAGTGGGGAGGAGGGGGACCAGTGTGGACATGTAGGGCAGACAGTCACCAGATAAGAGCTGGCAGTGAATTCATCAGACGTTCCACAAACAAAACTTCCAACTGCTTAAGACAGGTTTACTGGGCAGAATGGAAGAGGAGGAGGAACTTAAGCCCTTTGTGAATGACTTCCTCGTGTCGGGAAAAGATGTGCCTTAAATCACAAAGCCTTACACCACCTGTTTGAGGGAACATCACTGACTCAGTTTTGTAAACTGAAAAGCATCAAACTTGCCCTCCAATCTATAGATAATAAGTGATGGAAGCCCATGGAGATTCATGTTCATTAGCTTTCAGAGACTATTTCAGTCCCATCATTGCCACCCTGAAAGTGATTTAAATGCCGGCAGTCACCTGAAATGTGCTTTTCAATGAAAGGGAGGCCAGAGTTGATGGAGGAGTCCAGGAGGGGATCTAAAGATAAAGATGAAAAGAGGAAGAAAGGAAAGCAGGAGGACTCAGTCTGGCTGACAGGTTTGCACCACTAATTGATGCTTCTTCTCAACTACACTGTCTGGAAAAAAGGTCTCTTATAAGCCACAAAATACCAGCAGAACCTCCTTTCCCACTATGTTGACCACACTTCTGAGGGAGACCCAGAGTCTCCAGGGTGCATGGAAGCCTGGGTACCCTGGAAAGAAGGTAACCCTGCTCACATCCATAACTTACATAAGTGAAGACCGATCCGAGGAAGCTGGACTTGGGGTAAATCTGCAGCTGAACCCCAAGCACCTGAACAGGGAACACACAGGCCTGTACTGACCATTCCTGGCCTGACCTCGCTGCCTTCCATGGGATCTTTTTGTTTTAGGAAGGAAAACACAAAGCTGAAATCCCTGTGTCACCCACAGCTCCAAAAGCTCTGCTGTGAGCCCCCTTCTCTGAAAGAGCTGGGTGTGCAGGGAAGAGTCACTTTAGAAGGCTGGGAGAGGTTTGTAGTAGGAGAGGAGAGTGGCTCAGTTCCAGACACTTGGCAGGTGGAGAAATATTTATTCAGTGAATTTGGGACCAAGTATGGAAATGACTTTGCCCAGTTCCCTGAAGCAGGTGGATTTGTGAGACTTGGAAGCTTCCTTGAAAATTTATTTGAAGAAAATATTGGGGGAATATCAAACAGGACTTCCTGGTAATCAAGACTCCTGAAATTTAAGCTCTATTTCCATCCCGTAGAAGCACCAATTTTTGAAAGCAGGGGCTTCCTTTCACTTCTGTGCCATGGTTCCCCAATGTTCATGATCTGTGGAGAGACTAGTTTTTCTCAGGATGGGATTTTCCAAAGCGAAGAATATCCAGGGCCACCTGTCAAATAAAGATATTTATTAATTTTAAGCACACTATTACAATTGAAGTGCTCCATGTACGGGCCAGGGATAAAGCCACAGATACTAACTATGCAGACTACCATATGGCCCCCCAAGTTCCTATTTGTCACTGCAGTAAAATTTTTGTGGACAACATTCATCCTCCAATAAAGGGACATCAAATGCTGTTTCTGAACTATTGAGATGGCATAGTCCTACCTCTAAGAATTCCAACATCTTCCTCCTTTGGGTCAGTTGTATGGTTTCTTCAGCGATGGATGGCTTCCACTCTAGATGACTCTTGCCGCCTTTAGCACAGGATGGACACAGCTCTTCCAACCGAGAGCAAGTTCAGGGGGATGGGAAAGCCAACTGCTGGCCGGACTCAAAACTGCAAAAAAGCAAGCAAATAGCTGCTCTGACTAGAACAGGTGGGTATCTGCAAGGGGAAATCAGAGAGATGCTAACCGGGAGGTCTGAGGTTGTCTGTATCATTTGGAGAAGCAAGCAAGAGGTCTAGAGTAACAGAGAAAGACAAATATCATATGACATCACGTATATGTGGAATCAAAAAAATGATACAAATGAGCTTATTTACAAAACAGAAACAGACTCATAGAACAGAAACATAGAAAACAAGCTTATGGTTACCAAAAGGCTGGGGGAGGGACAAATTAGGAGGTTGGAATTAGCAGATACACACTACTGTATATAAAATGGATAACCGGCAAGGACCTACTGTAGAGCACAGGGGACTATATTCAATATTTTGTAATAAACTATATGGGAAAAGAATTTGGAATTTATATATATATATATATATATATATATATATATATATATATATAACTGAATTACTTTGCTGTACCCCTGAAACATTGTAAAACAACATTGTAAATCAACTCTACTTCAATAAAAAATAAATATAAAAAATACACAAAAACTAACCACCTCCAAATTTAAAAACAAATGAAAATTTAAAAAATAGTTACTAAGACACAAAAGGCAGAGTCATCTTAGGCCTACAGAATTGCATGTGTGTGTAAACAGGTATGAAGTCAGCATGTAAAAGTTATCTTGCAGGCTAACAGAAAGCTGTTTCTGTAAACTCGCGTATAGCTATGGTCACAGTCTGACTGCTAGAGTATGAGACATAGCAATTCTAAAAATATGACACATACACACCCTTCTTCTATCTATAAAGAGTGAAAGAAATGGGTCAAAGCGTGAAGAAGCTTTTCTTGAGCAGTCACATTATTGTTTATTACTTTCTTAGGCATTGCCATAATTCCCCAGATGTCCTTAAATGAGCATGTATTATTTTTTATTAAATGCCATTCTAATATCAGTAAGAAGAGTGTGCCCTTGCCCGCACGGAGGTTACAGTATAATAAAAGGAACTTTAGTTCCACTAAACATTTGCTTGCATCTTTCCCCAGAAGTCAGGATCATAAAGTGACTTCACTAAATGTCAAAAATCTCTACCTACAAAGCTCTGGTCACAGAGAGGAGTAGAATGTTAAAATAGGCATTTATTTTTACCTTTTGACTTGGAAAAAAAAAGGAGAAGCTGTCATTATCATGTCTTCTTATAGAAACTCTTAACACAAAAAGTCAGCATTATGCAATCAATGGAAATAGGGTTGTCCGCTTCAGCAAATAAAAATGGAGGATTCTCAGTTAAATTTGAGTTTCTGATAAACAGCATACAATATTTTTGATACAAGTATGTCTCATAAGGTATTTTATGCATTTATCTACAATCCCAAGTGGAAAGAATCTAGGCTAAGAAGCCTTATTTTTTTAGCTCAGACTCTTGCCCTGGCTCTGAGGATCTTGCTCTCGGTTTTCTGGGTTAAATAAGAGGGCTCACCATTGACTGTTCCAATATTCTATATAAAGCTTGCAGGACAAGGAAAAGTTCCTT